AGATTCGTCCACCGTACGGGGTGGGTTGGACATGAAAGGAGGGCTTGCAATTCCGAGGTCTTGGAGTCCTCGTCCATAGAATACGCCACATACGCAAAGAAAAGTGACGAGCCGAGGCCTCACTTGCAAGATAATAATTAAAATACGCTAAAACGCTGTTTTGTGTGTGCATGTGATCATGAAACCATACTGTATTCACTAAGCTTTTTGATTATACTATACATGTATATATCTCAGGTGTCATTTGTCAGTAGACGAGTGAACGAAGAAAGACGGGACTATGTTTTGAATCATGCTTGATTAGATATTTTAATTAGCATTGATTACGTTAAAGTATTTTACGCTTCCGCAATTATGTAACGAATTATGTTAAACATATTATGTGTGTTTGAAATTTTAAGTTCGTATTTTTGATCAAGACATAAGTTATTAAGAATGACGTCACGGCACTCGATAGAAAAGAAAAAAAAAATCGGGGCGTGACAGCGGTCCTTATGCTAAATACTTCTGGATGACCGATAACGAAGTAGTACCATAAAAAAAAAGGGTGAAAAGAACCCCAATCAGATAGTTTAATAAAACCATCAAGAGTAAACAAACACCAAATGGTTTTACTATTTATTTCTTCTCCTACAATATCATACATATGATGCTTGTCCCTATTTATAGGCCCACTTAAAGTCATAATCCGCCATAGCCTTCGGCACAAAAGCTAAGAGTATTATCCGTCGAATATGGGAAAAACGGAAGCCATGGAAGCAACGAAGACACAAGAAAAACCCATCAATCGCCATGGTAACCTAACGACAGCGTCCAGCGATGAAAATCTAAAAGACATTTTTCACGAAATCAGAACTTCCAGATCCCCTGTATGGATCATGTCTACTACTCTTATTTGTTTTTCTTTCAGAAATCAATCTGATTCATTGTATTCAGTAAGTTTCGCTTTTCTGTGTTGATTTTTTTTTATAATTGCAGGCGGTGATAAACTTCGGTGCGTCTTGGTACGTCAACTCCTAATTCTATGAAAATTGATTTTCCTTTGAGATTCTGTTAGGTATATCCATACAAGTTTGTTATGTTAGACAAATAATCATCTTCAACTATAGATTGCTACGACCACAGTGTTGAATTTGTGTATTTGGGATTATGAAACCAAACTTGAAGACAAGGTGTTCGATGAAATGCCCAAATGAAAAATGACTTGGCTGCTTATGATTTCTATTCGAAGGAGCTAGAAATTCTACAAAGTAAACAGAATTTACAACTTGATTACAAGTTTATTTTTAGGGGATTATTTGATTCATAATGATTTTATACTAAATTCCTCTTTTAACTACTCAAATTGGAGGGGAGCATCAATCGCTATTGAGATAGGATGGTAGCAAAAAGAGGGTGCTAGCAATGGTGAGGTTACACAAGATCAAGATCAGGAAAGTAGTGAAGCAATATATGGGCGATTCGAGCATACCGAAATAGTTCTTTGTGGATGGTACATCATAAAAGATTGTTGGTCCTGCGGATGTGGTGGAATATCCCATCTGCCTAGGGTTCGATTCCAGGCATACAAAACGATTGTTGCCACCGAGTTTATCAGGGCTGATTTCTTGCGATCAAAATTTGTCGGGATTAGTACTGGCACACCCTTCCAAAGAGAAGAGTTCGGAAATACTGTTGTAGTTTCTGGTTGCTTAGATGATGTCCTTTTTAAGAACCATAGTTTGTTCTTGTAAGCTTAGCTTTTTGGGTTTTATAACGTTTATCAAAATGCTTCTGACGTTGTGTGTTTGGTACTTGGACAAGACAAGAAGAGCGAGAGTGTGGTAGGTGGGTGAAAGAAGCGTGGAAGGTTTTAGGCTCTTAATTTAACATGGGCAGTTTAGTAATTACCAGTCTTGTCTCATCTACCTGATTTTTGTTCCACCTATTTTGGCATTGACATAAAAAATGCATTTTTGTCCCACTTGTTGCCATCTTGCCCAGTCTAATGTCACACCAAACGTGATACAACAAGTATTTGCTTTGTCTTGTCTGTCATACCAAATGCATCTAATCTTACAAGCCACCGTCATATTTAAACCAATGTATTTTGGTCTTTTACAGGTGTCGTGTTTGTTGCGAGATCCTCCCTTCGTTTAACCAGTTGAGCAACAAGTTCCCGAAACTTTCTTTTGTGTATGCAGATATAGATGAATGCCCAGAAACAACTCAGCATATTCGATACACACCTACTTTTCACTTCTATAGAGATGGTGAAAGAGTGGACGCGATGTTTGGTGCTGGTGAAGAGAGGTTGCACGATCGTCTCTGGCTACACTCCTAACTACAGTCACAATCTCTGTTGAGTAGTTAGGATCTCATTCATAAACTTGGGTAAATTTTGGCATTTTCGTATTCTGATGACAAGTATTATGTCACAAAAGCACTGATAAAAACACGTTTACATTCGATATGGTCTTTCTCATGAAGAGAGTAGAAATCCTACACATTTCCAACCAAACAAAACAAAAGATAAGGGATTGTAACGAAGAAACACAACATTTGGCATCACAATCAAAAGCTCGTAGTAGGTCCGGTCCACCAACTTCAGGCCATAGAAAAACTGCATGCCCAGCATAAGCTTGTTTATTCTCTCGGTTCTGATTTAAGGGGCAAAAGTTTCATCGTATTAATCTGGTATATTCAGGCTTTCGGTTTGAGAATCTTGGGGGTCTCCCAGGTGAAATCAGGATCTTCGCGACCAAAATGGCCATAAGCAGCAGTCTTCTGGTACCTGTAGTTGCCACCCCTCTTCAAGTCGAGATTAATCGACATCATCCCTGGCCTAAAGTCGAAATTCTCCTTGATCAGGACAAGGATATCCTTATCTGGGATTGTTCCAGTTTTATACGAGTCCACAAACACGGAAAGGGGCTCAGCCACACCAATAGCGTAAGAAACCTGAACGAGGCACCTCCGTGCAAGTCCCGAAGCTACTACACTCTTAGCAGCTTGCCTAACAATATAAGCACCACTCCTGTCCACTTTGGTAGGATCCTTTCCGGAGAATGCACCTCCACCGTGAGCTCCCCATCCACCATAGGTGTCGATGATAATCTTCCTGCCGGTTAGACCTGCATCACCATGGGGACCACCGATAACGAACCGACCCGAGGGGTTCAGGTGGAAGATGGTCTTGTCGTCAAGGTATTGAGGCGGGATGACGGGTTTGATCACATGCTCCTTAAGATCAGCAGCAATTTGCTCGTTGGTCACGGACTCGTCATGTTGGGTGGAGATGAGGACGGTGTGAACCCTGATAGGAACCATAGCGCCGTTATCGTTGCGGTACTCAACCGTCACTTGGGTTTTACCATCAGGACGGACCCATGGGCAGGTCTTGTTCTTTCTAACCTCAGTAAGCTTAGCACCAATCTTAGTTGCAAGAACATGGGTTAGCGGCATAAGCTCAGGTGTTTCATCAGTGGCGTAACCAAACATATGACCTTGGTCACCAGCACCAATTTCCTCGGGCTTCTTGCTAAGGTGACCGTGAACCCCTTGAGCAATGTCGGGGCTTTGTTGCTCGATGTTGACTAGAACCTTGCAGTTGTCGGCATCAAGCCCAACATCAGGAGATGTAAACCCAATGCCTTTGCAAGTACTACGGACAATCTTCTCGTAGTCTACAACAGCCTTGGTGGTGATCTCGCCAAAGACCATAACCATATTGGTCTTCGTGCAGGTCTCGCACGCAACTTTACTTTCGGGATCTTGTTCCAAACATGCGTCGAGGATGGCATCTGAGACTTGGTCACAGAGCTTGTCTGGGTGTCCTTCGTTCACAGACTCTGATGTGAATAGGAAAGTCTCCATCTCTGGAATAAATAGATCAAAAAATACATCAAATGAACAGATCTTCTAAAAACTATCAGATCTCTTTTCTTCTTCTCTATCTCTCCCACACACACATATACATATATATATATATATATACATATATATATATATATGTAGAAGATAAATCATATGAGAATAAGAGTTATGATGATAACACTTTTGAGCATTTGGATTACATAATATCATTTTCACAAGCATGAATATGTTAAACCTTCGTTCATAACAATGAAAAAAGGTAAATAACGGTAGTTGAATGTATACGAAGATTCGTTCTCACCTTCTAACCATAACTCTTAATTTCATTGAAATCCAACCTTTATATATATATATATATATATGTGTGTGTGTGTGTGTGTGTGTGTGTGTGTGTTTTCAAACAGGAGTACACACTTCAAATTTCAATGGCTTCTACAGCATTAGAAACCAAAGATGAATGTGATTCCTGATCGCACATGGATTAAATCTACATAACAAAAACCCTAGGAACGATTTCCAGAAATTCAGGAAATCGAAAACGAATCAACTGAAGCCAAAAATCAAAATGAGAATCAAAGAAAAGCAATGCAATGAAGTAAATGGAACGTACCTTTCTTAATCAAGATCTAGAGAGAGAGAGAGAGAGATATGAGGAAGAATGAGAGGTGGATGGTTGGAAGTGAGTGGGGGTTATGTGAATTTATAGGTGCGGATGTGAAGGGGTTGGGCCTCTGACTCGCTCCCTACTTCTGGTGAACCCTGCATATGAGGTTGTACATTAAGAATCAAAGGTTGTACACAGAGGATCACCAACTACATCTCCTATGGTGACTCACCAAACCCCGCCAACCTCTTTGTGGGCCCCTCTCACCAACCTTTCGTCCGTCCTTGTTCTTTCTCTAACTATGATATCGACGTCGTTTAGATACTTGGACCAAAATGCCACCTTCGTGCACAATACAAGTCGGTAAAGATTAGGTTCAAAAGGTACCCGAGTTATCGATAGATCTTGTATATGACAAATACAGATAAAAGATAATGTGAGAATAGAAGTTAAGTTGAGAAATGTAAGAAGAAATCTATACTGATCATTTTAATTCCAAACCAACCCATGAATTGTGTTTTAAAAAGGAATTGGTCATGTATATTTCATTAGTGTTGATCTAGTCTTTCGCTTCAATTAGGATTTTGATCCAATGGTGGAAGTCCTTTCTTACATTTTTCATCAGGACTTTCATTCTCACTGGAATCCAATATTTGTCATATATGAATATTATATATAAAAACTTCGTTTTAGCTTTATATTTTTCAAATAAAAAAAAACGCATGGAGTATTCAATTTGCAATCTAGAAATCCGGTAGAGAAAAGTTGTGATTTTGGTTAGAACGGTCACGGTTGTTCTAACAGATGCCATCCATACAAACAGCGACAGTCTGCTCCATCAAAGCACCACATTAGCTGAAAATAAATAAGACTTTTACATTATTTTGAAATTTTTTAGAACACCAGGGAACTTGAGAGATGACGGGTATCTAAAAAGGTTATGCATTTTGTCTTGATTCTTATTTTAGTTAATGTATTTTCAGAACATTTATTTTGGTATCTGAGATGTAAAACCTCAAACTTTTAAATAACTGATTTAATCATACCTATTAATAGTGTTTGCCGATGCAGCAATTATAATTAATATGGATTTCTTTTAATATAAAATAATTTTAGAGTTATTTCCGAATCATGTTTGATGAAGTTGGAAAGATTTGACCATCTCACACATTCAAAGTAAAAGAAAATACAAAAAAAAGTCATTTTGTATATGTTTTGATTGTTCTTTTGTCTCACGTGTCTTTAAATAGAAAACATATTTTTAAATCGAGATTATTTATCATCTATATAATCATAGTCGTATTCATTTATATATATATATATATATATATATATATATATATATATATATATATATATATGAATGGACTTGATAACACACGAATTGTTTGTTGACTTGATAACTCACGAAGTCACCCAATAATGGACTTGTGCTGGGCAAATGGTTATGGGAGGAAAAGCAGATTTCAAATGCTGCTTCTTGATACTGTGTTCTATGTCACACTTGGTGATCGACGATGCCTATCATACATGATACATTGCATCCACACCCTTCAAAACTCCAACTTCTGGTATTATTTCATTATAATAAATATTTTTATTTCACTAAATCATTAGTAAGAACCTGCTAAGGGTGTGTTTTGTACACGATACAGATTTAAAGCTTCTTGTCTGGTGCGACATTTAGGGTGGGATGGAACAGGACTTAGTGGGATAGAAATCAAAGAGATGGGACAGGATCGGTAAATTACTAAACTGTCTACCTCACTTTTATCCGTCCAGTCCAGTCAAGTCCCGTCCCCTATGCATACCAAACACACCCTAAAGAAGAAGCACCGAGGTGGATGGTCTTCTTACCTGGCTTGAATGTTGATTTGGGGTCTATATGCTTTGGGTTTTGTAGGTGATCCAGCAAATCAAGTGTTGAAGGATTCATGCCAAGATCTCATGATGATATGTCAGCATGTTCGAAGCACCTTCGACCAAGCTGTTGCCGAGTTTAAAAACAATAAACCTGCTGAAAACCAGTAAGGCTGCCATGGAAATACAATCACTCTTCATTTCTAAGTACCCATAGAAGTACCCATAGATTGTATGGGTTTGGTTTTACATTTTGTTGACTTTAAAATAATGGACCTAGATGATGTAACTTTCTTGAAACCATATTGTATTTATTTAAGTTTGCATATGTTCAGGATATAATCAAATTGATATTCACATGAATCATTAGATATACACTTGAGTTCAATGTCAATGATATAATACAACATTATTAAGTTTATGTACACAAGATTAGAATTGGAATTGGAGTTGGAGTTGATTTACCAAAAGTTCCATTGCCAGAAGACCTTGTCGACAATTCCTCCACCACTACGAACAGCAATCTGGAGCGATTCAGATGCAGGAGGAACCCCCCAAAGTAGCGGCACAGCAACTGTCATTGTTAGCTTTTCATTCAAACCCCCCTTGCTACCCTTTTCCGCTACAACAATCTGCCATCAACCAATTGAAAACAAGGAATTATGGGAGCATTCGTAAATGTTTAGATTGTAATCCGTGTTCTTTAAACCTATCAAACATAAATGCAATACATTCATGGGAATATAAGTAGGTACCTCTCCACCGTGCTCCAAAACAGTGTCCTCGACTACATCACTTAACATTTCAATGGAGCGGCAAAATCCAATGATGCAAAGTCTTCTGCTCATATCAAGCCCCTGCGACCGAACATTTCAAATGCATAAGCACAATTGAAAGATCAAGCAGTTCTGCACAGATAGAATGTGAAGATTTACATTTGTCGCTGCAATATCAAAGAGTGCACCCAAACATAGGCCTTGAGCTGGATCCATATAATTGCTCTCTTTAAACTGTTGTGATTTAGGGGAAGCCTTCACCTTGGCTTGCTTCTTCTGAACAAGAAGCACAACTTTTCAGACGAGTGCCCAAAATAGCATTAAGAATGCACTTCGAGAAACAAGTTATGACATTACTGTTAGTCCATCCTCAATTTTGAGATAAAAACCTTGAAACTTTGTAACCAGGTGGAGTATAAACTATGATTATTAGACAGCAAAATAAAAACAAGTATGATCGTGTACGCAATCACACAAAATAGCAAAACTCAGGAGAGAAAACCAACCAAAGATGTATCACCCTAACAGCCCTTATGCCAAGACCTCATGGTGTACAACTTTGATGTAGTGTTTTACAAAATGTCAAACAACAGCAAGGCATCAAAAACAGCCTACTCAAACCAACACATTGCAAAAACAGTATAATGGAGTCGAAAATGGAAGACACATGCAATAAGTGCAATTGGTTCCTACGCTGCTATCGTTGTCAATAACAAGAAGGTGACAAAGAATTGATCTTGAACAACCTGTGCTGAAGAGACACGCTTAGGGACCATCAATCCTCCAATTTGAACAAGCCCATCAGCAGTGAACAAGGTAATCATTTCCTGCTGTTCCCATTCAATACCTGTAAACATGTTGCGGCAAGTTAGATACGTTTTGAACACCTCACCGAGATAATGCTAATATAAAAGGAACAAGAAGGGCATAAAAATGATTTGAACCTTATGCAAGATGATGATAGAATGTTAGAACAATTTTCTAAGCATCTTAATATCTTTTCCATAATCACCATCTGTGCGACATTTTCTTTTTCTATATTATAAAAAGAATTGCAATGGTTGAATAATTATCACTACATAATGTTATCAACACTTTTGTTATTGGTTATTCACTCAATTGTTTCCAAACTCAAGCTGTACCATGACTGATACAATAGTGGAACAGTTGCCTCTTACTTCAGATGGTTCGAATAAATGCACCATGAGTCCCCAATACGACAACAAATCTAGCACCCGATCGACTCACTCAATGGTTCGAAATTACATATTGTTATTTGATGTTGATCAGATCGTTCATTAGCAATTCAAAATCATCGTGAATTAACACTTGGGCTAACTAAAAGAAATGAATATGGAAGTTCCTCAAACTTTGCATAATACAACCACAAAACTACACCTACAGAGCATACATAAGAAAACAATTACACAATCACTTAAGGTGTTATCTACAATTCATATAATCCAAGTATCTACCACAGATATAAGAAAAGGGGAAGCAAAAATTCTAAAATATCGCAGGCGTACCATTATCTCCACCAGAAGACTCCCAAGGATAGAATCCAAACGGATCATCATCAGAGAAAGTCCCAGAAAAATTGGAGGATTTGGCGGTGAATGAAACAGAACGAGATGAAGAGGGCGGTGGGTAGCGATCGAAAGAGAATCTATGAACAAGTGTTGATGGAGAAGAAGATGAAGATGAAGATGATGGAAGAGAAGTATATGAGAAGGTAGAGAATGATAGAGCAGAGGTGGAAGCCATTTTAGGGCGAGATCGAAGGAATTTTGATGGGAGAAATTGGGGATGAAGAAAACAAAAGAAAAGGGGAAGAAGCAACGTTCGTGCGGTGCCACACAATAGCTGACGCGTGGAGCAGTTCCCCTCCGGAATTTGAACGTGTTAGTATGCTACCATAATTATTAATATTATATATATATACAAATCTGTTTAATAAGATACGGTTAAATGTCTATGTGTTGTCAATATAATACGTATTTAATGATATATGATTAAACTTGTGGATTATATATGTAATTATATATGATACTGAAACTTCTTACTTAACTTAACTTTTGTTCTCACCGAAATCTAAAATAAAAAGGGTAAGGAGTGCTAGTCAGTATCTCCGACTACTTCATCAACCGCCTTCTCCAGAAACGTCCCTAAAATCCCACAACCATATACATTACCCTACATGAGACGTAGAAGCAAAGGCAAATGGGAAACCTCTTCTCGAAACATAGCAGACGATTTAGTGGATCGATTAGGTATCAGTTGGGGTCGATTTCTCGAAAGGGATTGAAGATGATGTATTATGGTATCACGGCCTTCTAACTGAAACCAAAGATGAAGCAAAGGTCAAGTGACATTTTTGAATTTTTATATAATATTATTGTACAAAATTTCGATACACAGACACAGTCATTTATTTATGCATAACATGTTATGTATGTCATGTTACATTTATTAATCTTGTATTGTAGATATAAGACACCTTAATAAAGTTTATCATATTTTATACAAAGGCAATTTTACTTCACAAACATTGATTGTCACTATTAGCCTCCTATGTTACTCGTTTGGCTGTCGGGACCTGTTTACAAATCTACTGCTTGTTTTAGCTATATGAATAGCTTTATTTTTATGATTGAAACCGTATTCTGTTTCTCGAATTCCTTTTTGATTCATGTTATTAACAATTGAACAATCGTCACCATCGAAATCTGGTATCATGATTTATTTTCTTATAAACACAAATCAAACACAATACTCCAACATGGTAGTTGTCTATAACCAATATTATATTTTACCAGCTTTATAATAAAAACTGAAGACACGGTAAGTTTTTTATGGTAACCGTGTCCCCGGGTGATCACAAATGTTTTGAAGTCATCGAAGGTTAACCTCAATGGCCACAAGGGTTTTGACAGTGTTTGGATTTCAGTACGGGGAATATAAGATTTCCAGTACATCAACCCACGCCTACCAGTTTGCCACAGCCCAGGTGGCTATCGTACTTGTTTTAGCTACATATTATACAACCACCCTTTAAAAACAACTCTTAAACGTATGTCTAGCATAAAAAACGTCCTAACGATATTGTTTCAGATCATAAACATATAAAGAATGTAAATTACATATTTTATGATTTCCAACGTAGGGTGTAACACCCGGAATCTTACTTTAGGTCATTTTACCTTATTTGTTAATTTTCTCTATTTTCAAAAAAAGGGGGGGGGGGTGCTACCCCCTAATTGAGGTATTGACTTTAGACCATTTGAATTGAGGAATTTCCCTATTTGACCTTAGGTTCTTACCTGCTGGATAAGGTTTGTGAGGGGACTTGAGCTTTTGTAAAAGGAAGTCAGGTCTGCACCTAGGGAAGGGAAAAAGAAAAGCAAATTAAAATAAGGAAGGAGGAAGCCCTTCACCGGGAGAGCAGAGGAAAGAAAAAGAAAGAAAGAAAAGGTGGAAAGGACGACCGGACTGCCTTCTTCGACGGTTTCTCCAAGCAGAGAACTTCAACCTCGGCACCTTGACCATTTCTGCTTCCCACCTTAACAGCAAACAGCAAGTCTGCATTGCTATTTCTTCCTTGCTACCCAATTCGTCAAGCGGCAACAATGAGCCGTGTTTGGGCTGCCTGCGCCTCGCCAAGACAGCAGCTTTAGCTGCGTTTTTGCTGTACTTTCGGAACAGCAGCAGCAACAGCCGCGAACAGCAGCTAYTGCGTCTTCCTCGTTCGCCCAAAAACAGCCGGCAGCAAGGTAGCAGCCCCTACTGTGTTGTGCTGTCTTCTGCACGCCTCGCCAAACAGCAAACAGCAGCAGCAAACAGCAGGCTGCAGGTGCCGTTTTCTCCGTCTTCTCGCCCGAACAGCAGCCGTAAGGAGCAGAGCCATTGTGTCCTTCTCGATTAGCCAGCAGCAGCAGCAAGCTGTCTGCGCTTGCTGCACACCTCCTCAGACCAGCCCAACAGCAGCTGCAAGCTGTCTGCGCTTCTTCACGCCTTCTTTCTCTCGTCCCAGCAGCAGCAGGTCGTACCTGCGTGCTCTCGTCCGATCTCCAACAGCACACAGCAGTGCCGCTGCCGGTTCTCTTCGTTACCGACTGCTCAAACTTTGCAC